TACTCTGATTTACAGTCTCTGTATGACTTTTATATTTAATGATAGATGCGTCTATTGTTTAGTGAATAAAATAAGTATACTTTCATTCTAAAGTAATGAAAAGGAAGGAAAATTATTAAATGAAACACATTAATAATAAAGATTTCTGTAACCTAAATATCAATGAAACATTCTTGTTTAAAGTCCTCTCAAGGAAAAAATAACTGTATGACAAATGAAGTTAATCTGTTCAGATGCCAGTACAGCAAGGGGAGATTTGGTGCCTATAATGTACTGTAGCAATAAATTGCCACCCTAGCATCAAATTTTCCCAGTCTCATAAATAAATTTATATAGAACCAAAACTAATTTATCACATTATACTCTTATTTTATTATTTTATTACGGTATTGTGCTTTGCATATTTATAAAGCTTGCAGTTTACTCAGTAGCCACATAAATAGGGCATAACCTTAGATAGTTGTAAAAGACTGTTTGGCTGAGTACCAACCCCCAGAATATCTATACAGGTCTTACAAAGATTTCGAATTAACTAATTGCACATGTTACACAAGGAAAAAATGAATCACAATGGTGAAACAAAGACCCAGAATTAAGTTTCTCTGGTAATAATTGCATAATATTATCAAAATACTTTTCTTTGAAAGCAGCTTAATGAATAATGTACAGGCATTAGAAATCAGAGTGATATGATGGGGTGAAATTAAGGACTAGAACAGAGGCATGAATGGTGTCCAGTCCTGTTGGGAAGATGGGGGATCTACTATTCTGGACCTAATTATGATCTGCAAAGAGAATTGGTTGGTGATATGGAAATGATGAGACATCTTAGAAACTCAGGGTATAGAGTATCATGTTTTCAAGCAACATTTCAAAGAAAAATTATCTTAATATTCAGCGGAAAGGCAGTTATGATTTGATAACCTTGAAACTGTTAAAGGAAAGATGCTTAGGAAGTATTGGATCACTTTCTAAAATGAAATTATCCATAAGGAGTCTCTTTGAATACTTCTCCCCTTTTCCTTGTCAGAATTTCTTCTACAATTCCGCATCTTTTAATTTGTGTTACTATTGTGATTAATTTTATCCTTGTTTAACATGTGCAATTAGTTAATTTAAAATCTTTGTTAGACTTACACAGACTTTTAGGGGGCTGGTACTCAGTGAAATCCTCTTTTAAAACTACCTGACTAGGAATTTCTTCTGTCAAGGAAAAGGAGAGACATATTTAAAGAGACTGTTCTAGTTCCAAAAGAACTTTACAGTGTGCTACAGGTATAAAAAGATTACATAAAAAGACATTAAAAGATTACATGGAAGGAGGCAGTATATAACCAAAGGCGAATATAAGAGTACTTAGCTCTGCCAGTGAACAGGATGAGCTATTTATTAATGCATGAATAGCTTACATTAAAACAGAGGTACAAATTTGTATTATAATATGAGTGAATGTCATTTTAGCGGTTTATATGAAAACATAAAATAATCGAGTCTTTTTTTAAAGAAGACAAAAATCAGTCATCAGAAAAATGCAAACTAAAACAACTACTTATCAGAATGGCAAAATGTTAGCTAGATTATGATGCAACTGGAGCTTCTCATAACTTACTGATGTGAGTTTTAAGTGTTGCAGTCATTTCGGAAAGTTTCTGGGGCAGTATTCACATCCTCCATGACCCAACAAATTTACTCCTAAACATATACCTGTGGTAGGCAGCATTCTAAGATTGGCTCCAAGGTACCTACCCCTTGATGTACACATACCTACTCCTCATTAATTAAACACTTGTAATTGGTGAAGACATTTTGCAGATATATTTCAGTTCCCAAATTAGTTGACCTTCAAATATGAAGATGATCCTCAGTAGGCCTAAAAATCAGGTGAGCATTTAAAAGAGACTGGATTTTTCCTGTCAAAAGGCTCACAGTATGAGAAGGATCCAGTGGACAGGAGATTCTTTCTTGCTGGGTTGAAAATGGAGGGGGCCGGTAGTCTCTAGGAGTACCAGTGGCCTTTACGAGTATACCCCCTGAGAGGCAGCAGAGAGACAGAGATTCAGTCCTATAGCCACAGATGCTGAATTCAACCAGCAACCTGAATGAGCTTGGGAGCAGATTCTTTCCCAGCACTTCCAGAAAGGGATGCAGGAAGGCAGCATGATTGAAATGTGAATTTTAGCCTTGTAAGTCCCTGAGCAGAGAACCTATTAAGTGCCTGGTCCTCTAACCTACAGAAATAATAAATGAGTATTCTTTTAAGTCATTAAATTTGTGATACTTTGTTACAAATCAGTAAAAAACTAATACCTGGTATTAGTTTGGTACCTGGAAGTGGAATACCATTCCAGTTTCACTGTAACAAATATCTAAAAATATGAAAGTCACTTTGGAACTTGACAGTGATTACAGGCTAGAATTTTGAGGAGCATGATAGAAAAGCATATATTGCCCAGCACAAGCTGTTTGTAGGACTCAGTACTTGAGTCTCTTGCTAGGGAGAGGCTGGAGAAAGTGGTTCCTTGTTGTATAGTGGAAGAACAGAATGCTTAACAGAATTGTCCTTAACATAATGGGTAAGTGATTAACTTGTATAGTTAGCTGAAGAGATTTCCAAGAAAAGTGTTGAGAGTGCGAGCTCATTCTTTTTCTTGCTACTTTATAGTAAAGTACAAGAGGAGAGAGGTAAATTGAGTGAAGAATTATTAAAGGAACCAGGACTTGACAATTTGGGAAATTCCTACTGTGATGCGGCTGGCAAAAGAGAGATTGTTTCCAAAAGTGTGGCATAGTGGAAAATGTGAGAGTGTGGCTGTATGATTTTTACTAAAAACCCCTTAAAGATCAAAAGGTTGGAGATTTCAGTCACACAAAGAGCTCGTTAAGAGATTAAGGGTGTACCTCACAGATCTTTTCAAGAGAAATGATCTCTTTTCAATAAACCAGAGAATCTAGAAGGTTTGAAAGTATCATCTCACAGGCATTTCAGCAAGAGCGAAGATAGAGTAAGGGTTATCTGAAAAAAGGTTTGTGAGTGTGACTTTTGTCTAATGGAGTAAAACCCAATAAAATTTATTTAAGACCTGGAAGTGTCTTGAGAAAATTACATCAATAGAAACATTGCCAGCTTGGACTGAAAGGGACAAAATAGAAGGAGGCTGTAGCCAGAAGCAGGCTGTTAAAAGAACTCAGCTGCAAATAAGTGGTAACTTGCATGAGAAAGGAACAGTGATTAAGAGAGTAGAGCTTAGACCCGCAGAGAATTATTCCCAGGCCTTGAAATCTAACTAAGAAAAATACAGGATTTGCCAGAACTAATTTCAGTACCGTTGTGGATGAATAAACTTTTTACCTTCCACTTTCTCTCAGTTTGAATGAGAATTTCTATACAGTCAGCCTTTCAGATCTGTAGGTTGTACATCCCTGGGCTCAACCAACTATGGCTTGAAAATATTTGGGACAAAAATACAAATAAGAAAACATAGTATATTTGCATTGCATTTACATTGTCTTGGCATTATGAATAATCTAGAGATGAATTAAAGTGTATGGGAAGATTTGTTTAGATTATATGCAAGTATTAAACCATTTTACATGAAGGACTTGAGTATCTTTGGATTTTGTTCTCACTTCTGGAAAACATTAAGATGCTTAAAATATCTCAGTAATGTAAGTTAATTTTATAGCTGACTGAGGGGGAAAGAAATCTTAGGATGGTAGCTAATATTGAGAAAGTGAGCCTTGTGAAGTAACAGAGTACTACCAAATGATTTTGTTTATTCAGTAGACAAGTCTATACTTTGTTAAATTTACATAAATTCTTTAGAAAGTGAACGTTGTCATATAAAACACTCAGCAGAAATTACAAATAGATGAAGCTTAAGTCATTATCTAACTGGACATTACCTCTAAGAAAGAATGAAGATGAGTTGCATGTATATTTATTTGATGAGTGTTTTTGTCTTGAAAATTCTCTGTAATGAAAGTGTATGTTAATGGAAATAGAAAATATTCTGTATGCTTTGCTGAGTGCCTAGTGTTAGTGTTGACAGTCTGGCAATGATTATTATCATTTTGTGTTGTTTTAAGTGCTATTCCTTTAAATTGTAACGTCTATTCTGAGAGACAAAATGGGAGGGGTCTGTAAGGAAAAAAAAAGCATTATAGATATTCACAAGATACCTTTTTTAACTAAAAATAAGTGCTACAAAAAGGACAAGAGGAAAAAAAAAAGGAGAAGATAATATTCATCTTTACCTTGAAATTAAATTAGCCAATATATAACTGTCTGCAGTTGTCAGAATGATACATTTTAGCACACACATGCAAATTATTATAATTTGTTAATGAAGACCTGCTGTATCATCAGGGCATAGGAAGAAATAGTTCAAATATATTTCAGAAACATTGTCTAAGGCTGAGTACAGGGAATCTCTGTCCTTCAAGAGGCTTGCAAGTTAGTGAGAAAGATGGACCTTTACTATCATATAAGGCAGGCCTGATAGAAAAGTATCTCATCAGTTTGAATGCGAGTGGTATTTGAATTGAATCTTGAAAAGAAGAAAACTATCAGGGAGGTGCATTTTGGCTAGAAGGAGTAGTAAGCACAGGTACTGAGATAGATTAGTGTGCCTAGTAGCTTAGTAACTCCTGAGAAACACAGTGTAGTACTCCGGGGTCATGTGGTTATTGAAATCATAGATATGGCCTAAAGTTAAATTTGTGATATGCCCAGGGATACACAGTTAGTGGATGACAGCCAGATTTGAAACATATTCTAGCTTCAAAACTCATGTTCTATCATGCCATGATATCTATTTACTGTGAGGTCTTATGTTTGATGTAAAACTGAATTAGCATAATTAATCACAATGAATAGATAAATCTGATGGTTATATATGTTTTGCTGTTGCTGAATTATCTATCATAATCAACCCTCTAATGTAATCAGTAAAATTTACCATTTTTCAAATTTCTTTTTTGAATATATTTTTCTCTTGCAGGGTTACATTTTGCCATCTGCCTTTCCAGAGTAAGTGGCTCTATGTGGGCACTGAACGAGGTAATATACATATTGTCAATGTGGAGTCCTTCACACTCTCAGGCTACGTCATTATGTGGAATAAAGCCATTGAACTGTGAGTTTGAACAAGTATTTCATATTTGAAAGCATCAGTTCTATGTATGATAATACCATTAGATCATAGCCAGTCAGTAAATCTGCATGGAATTAAATATGTGACAGATGTTCTTAATGTTAAGTACAGATTTATTAGTTTTTTTGTGAGTATTCTGTTGATGTGGCAATTTGTACATTTAAATACTTTATATACATGTATATAGACATATGTGCACAGCATGCATATATTTACATGTGTGTAACTGTAACACAAGTTTAATGAAACAGTCATTCCTACTAATGAAAACTCAATTTTTTCTGTTCTTTTATCTTCTAATTATTTTTCTTTCAAATGATGGCCATGACCCAAAAATGGGTTCCCAGCAGTATTTGGAGAACACTGGATTTAAACTACTACTTGATATGTTTTAATAATCATCAGATACAATGTGTGCTAAAGTTAATATATTATCAAATTAATTTTGTTTGATTTTACTTAATTTTGATAAGTTCATGATTGTTTTCATTTACTAATATTAGCAACAAAAACTGGGTTGAACTATAGGGCCCTAATGATCTTTAGTACTAACTCTTCACCCTGTCTTAAATTTTTTGTATCTTATCTCTTTTTAGAAGTTTTTTCATATATTGCGGGGACATAAAAATCGAAGTTTAAGGATATTGGCAAGACCCTTTTTAATGTTTCTTTTTGTTTTTAAGCAAGTAGTCTTGTATTGTTGCATGCCACAGTATTTATATCTTTTTGTGAAAAGGATAATTCTGTGACATATCTCTTAAGTCATGTGTTAGTATAGCTGTAATAGTGTATTAATCCTGGTTTTTCTTCCTGTAGCAAGAATGTTATTATCATATATCAGTCCTTTGGTAGGGTTTTCATGGTCTGCTCCTTGAACTGATCATGACATCTAGTGGGTAGGCTTAGTGCAGGTGTCTGTATAGTTTCACGGATGACTCTCATAAAGTGAAGTGATCTGTCAAACTTTGGAGTTTTTGAATTAGGAGTATGCTTATTTTTATTCTATAAGCACCAATTCAACCGTATTCTTACCTGTAGAATTTCTTTTTCTCTGAGCAGATATAGGTGGCATTACTTTGTTGCTTTTTTAATAGAATTTTTTTTCTATTTCTATTGCAACTAAATGGGATGCCTAAATAGGAGGCTAGAATTTAATAAAATAAGATAGGTGCTGCATTATTCAAAAATAGTAACTTTGAGAAGTCTGCCTTGACAATAGATTTCCTATGCTCAAATCTTTGACTAAAGATTCTTTCCTATGCAGAAAGTATACTTAATTGTGAATTTTATTTATATGAGTCATCACTTTTTCCCTGATCCCTATTTTGATCCATATTAAGAACTATACATTTATTATTTATCACTTGCTAAAATGCTTTCTTTCCTTATAAATATAAATTATTTTCTGTTCACTTGCTTTTTTTGGAAAGAAATATGTAGCCATATTAAAATTTTTAATTGAAGGCAAAATCTTACTAACTTTTTCTTTTTTAGGTCATCTAAATCTCACCCAGGACCTGTGGTTCATATAAGTGATAATCCAATGGACGAGGGAAAGGTAGAATTTTTTGTAAAAAGTTATGTATTTAAATGCATGAATTTTTGTATTTTTCATTAAACATACTGTATCAGGATTACACTTATTCTTTCAAGTTGAGATTGCCATTGAGGGTTGTGTATCATATACACTTAATGCTTATTAATTATGAAGCACAAATAAAAGAATAAGAAACGTTTATAATGTTAAAGGACAAGAAAATACCCTAAAACATAAGTGAAACTTAATACATATAATTACAGGTCATTAATTTATATTGGCTCATTCAGACTATTTTTCCTGATTTTCTGTTAATCCTGATAAAGTTTTCTTTTGTTTTGGATTCTTTTGAGCACTTTGGTTATACAATTTTTGTGGCACTTATCACAGAATGCCTTATGTTACAGTTGTCTTGATTCTTTTGAACACTTTGATTATACAGTTTTGTAGCACTTAACACAGATTGCCTTATGTTACAGTTGTTTTGATAGCTCATCTGCCCTAAAATTTTTTGTCATGCATAGCTCCAGTTAATAATGTAGAGTTTTTAAAATGTTATTTAATTTTTAATACTCTGAAACCAGTTTCATATAATCAGTATCTAGCTATTGTTAAATTAGGTTATTTAAATCATTTAAAACTAATAAATATTTTTGACTGAATATTTTCTATTTCAAACCAGTCTTTCAGGTAATTCTATTTAATAATGATATTTTTCTACCTATATAATTTAATGACGTTAAGCTAAGTAAATACCAAGCAGTTTATTGCTATCAGAAATCAGTAAAGTGAAACCTCCGGATTTTATGGAGGAGTTTAACCAGGTTTTTCATATCCTCAATTGTGGGAGAGGTTGAGCTGACATATCGTTTAACACTGTTCTCTTAGTTTGCCACTGAGTAAACAAAAAGATAACTAGACCATTTGGAGTTAGGTCATAATTATAGCATTGTATGCTTCGAGAGAAACTTTACATAAAGCAAGTATAAAGTAACCTAGATCTTTATTTAATTTTTATACAAGATATTTATTTAAAAACCAAGCCTTTGGATGGGTGGCATGGTAGGAGAATTGAAAACTTCCTTTCCACCTTGAATTGATCATCAAGTTATTTTAATTCTTCCTGTGCTTCTTTTCTTTTCTTTCCTTTTTTCTTTCTTTCCTTTTTTTTTTTTTTATTTTCTAAAAGTCCCACTATGTTGCCCAATCCAGTCTTGAACACCTGAGCTCAAGTGATCCTCCTGCCTTGACCTCCCAGACTGCTGAGATTACAAGCACGAGCCACTGTGTCTGGCCTAGAGTGCCATTTTAATCTTAATCTTCTTTTGTTTCAAAGCTTTCAGTGAGTCTATAGTATCTAACAAATAAAATCAGCTTTTCTTAAAATAAAGTCCTAGATTTCCTTATTATTCAGGATATATTTACCTGAATGCTGTGCTGAAGCAAATAGTTATATTTTCAGTTATGAACTGCTCTTTGATGTTTTCATACCTTTGTTTATGTGAGTCCTTCTATATGGAATTCTCTCCCACCTCTCTGTTGAAATCCTACCCACCCTTTAAGGCCTAGATTAAATATTTTTCTTTTGTTCTTTTTTGATGTCTTCCATAATAACCCAGACAGAAAATGCTTTTTCTTTCTTTCACATTTATTAGTACTTTAGTTATGAAAATTTATGGTATTTATCACATAATGCTTTGTATTAGAAATGTGTGCATATCTCAGCTCCCCTGAATCTGAAAGACTCCTTGAGCACAAAGGTAATATTTATACAGGTTTCTAGTTTCCATAGCATCTAACTTATGATAAAAATACCAACTACTCAATATACATTTATATGAATTATATATATAATTCATTCCATAAGGAGGATGATGTAAATAAGTTATATATATATAATTTAAAAAATATTAGGATGCTAAAATGAACTATATTTTATAAACTTTGATTTCTTGTAGACTTTTCCTGTTTGCAAAGATCTAGACATTTTGTCATTGAAAAATGATGTAAGGTGATAGGGCAAGTTCCTTCAGTGCTAACCTTATAGGTGTATACTGCCACATTTAGTGACGGTCTTGGCCAAGGATGGCTAGACATGAGTGTCAAATTACTTTATGATAGGAATAGTTACCATTTATTTAATTCTATGTGTCAGGCACTTTACTGGTCACATTATATACACAACTTATTGGATCCTTTCAACAATTTTTAATTTACAAATTTCCCTTACCTTACGGATGATAAAGCCGAGATGTAGTGACATTATGTGTTCTATAGATACAGAACTAGACTGTGGTCGATCTGGGATTTGAAGACTGATTTCTTGAATTTCAACCCAGGAGTACTCTCTATTACACTACACTTTCTTACCATTTATATGTTGTAGAGAGATGTATTCATGTTCCGTGTACCCACTAATGCTTTTTGTAAGGAAAATTTAGAGGGCAATTTGTCATTAGTATATAAACTAACATCTCTGTGGGTTATAAAAGATCCTAGTAGGAATAAGCATTGAAGAATTTTCCAAGTTTAATTAAGTACTCTTTAATTAAGTACTCTATCTTTAGTTTTCTATTTTAAAATTTTATTGTTCTCTTGATTTTGTAGAGAAAGGCATTGAAAAGCTAGAAGATTATGGTCATAAAACTAACCTGTTGTCACATATTTCTAATATCCTTAGAATACTACATCTAGCTAGAGAGGTTAAAGTTTAACTCTCTTAAGCTGTTATGGTCTGGATAGATAAAATTATTTCCTTAAAGTTATATGGCTATTAAGTGGCAGATTTAATACTAGAATTTAGGTTACTTGGGTCCTAAGCAGTGCCATTTGCAGTGTACATCAACTCTTAAGTTTTATTCTTTTCTTCTCTTTCCTTATTCCTGAAGTTCCTCTTTTCTCCAATGCTATATCACATGTCCAAGATACTTGAAAAGCCTGGGAAAAGAGAGGAAACAAATATCATTTTTTTTTCCAGAAGATGTATGTATCTCAGATTGCCTAGGAAATAAGAGATAAGGTTAGAAAAATTGACTATTCTGTACTAAAGTAGGAAAACTTATTTTGTTAGTTTCAATAGCCCCTCCAGCTGCCCCTGTACTCTGATATCTTCTAAATTTGTCTTATTAAAATTATTGGGTCTGCCAAAATTTGGTTCATATCCCCAGATTACCCAAACAGATATAAACTAATCATTTCTGTAATTATTAAACAAATATTTATTGTGCGTATTGTATTAGGAAGTATATATGAAAATGCATGGTTCTAGCTTAAGAAAGGGAACATCTTAATTTGTCTAGAGAAACTAGATAGACATAACTAGGAAGTAACACTGAATTTAGACTAAAAATATTAATAGAAGATTGCTTATTGAATGAAAGGGGAGGATGTTTTAAGCAGAGAAAATGTCAAACTGAGATTTGGAAAATACTGAGGGTAGGGGCTGGGGGCAGCAGAAGTACTATGGGTAGTGTACATAGTTTGTGAGGCAGGAAGAGGCATTCCATTTTGAAATGGATGCATTCATAATACTTAAGGATTTATAACATATCTGGCCCTGTGTGTTATGTTAGAGGTATTGTGGTAAACAAGATAAAACTAATCCTTGCCCAGATATGCCAGTTTTACAGACTGCACAATAATTCAAATAAAGAAAATTTCATTATTATATTTTGTGGTGATCCTTCAGATTAAAAAAAAAAAAAAAAGTACAGAGTGTTATTGGAGCACATAGGAAGGGTATTGACTTAACATGTGGTAGGTTGGGGAAGGCTTCCCAGAAGAAATGATCACTAAAATGACATCTGAGAGATGAGTAGAACCAGTCAGACAAAAAGGATGACATTCAAATGGAGTGGCTCAGGTAGGGAGGCAGCATGTACAAAGGCTCAAAGATAAGAGAGAGCATGAACTTAAGAATATACTGTAATGTATTGAGTGGCCATGGTGAGATAAGGGATGGAGCTGGAGAGGTAAACAGAGGTCAAACCATGACGGATCTTGTTATATTACTGAGTTTACAACTTATCCTAAAAATAATGGTGTGGCATTTAAAAGTTTTAAATAGAAGCATACATTTCCCCATTCGTTTTGTATTTTAGAACTGTTACTGTAGCTACAATATGAAATGGGATAAAATAGGAGCAAGACTGGAGTCAGAGAGACCGGAAAAGGAATCTTTGTGTCTTGAACCAGGGAAGAGGCACTAGAAGTGGAGAGAAGTAAATTGGATAATATAATGTAATTTAAATTTACATGGTGATTTTACCTACTGGGGGAGAGACTAGAGTTAAGAATGACCCCTAGGTTTCTAGCCGGTGCCATTGAATAAACGTGGTAAGGAGTAGTGAGAGACACTGCAACAGGGAAATCCAGAGAAGCAGAGTAGAGAAGAATATAGCTAATTCCATTTTGGGCACATTTACTTTGAGGCTCTTGTGTAGAAAAATGGAGATGTGGCCACTGGAATTATGTGTCTGAATCTCATGAGAGGGATGTAGGCTGAATATGATTTGGAAATTATCAATATATAGATGGAGTAGAGGAGATTGCCTGATAGTGTGTCAAATTTGAAAAGTTTATAAACATAAAATACATACAAATGTTAATATTTCATAGTAATTTATTAAAATCTGTTATATTAGTGAAGATGTACAGTTAAGACTTCAAAATGGTACTGTTTTTGTTTTCAGAAGTCAGTTGTATCTTGAGTCCCTAATCATCAAAGACATATAAATATGCCATGCAATGTTCTCATTTGTCATCTGTGTGATTACTAATTAGCAATACAGACGTTTGTTTATATTGTACATTTCTACTCAAAGCATTTGAATGGTAGTAGTTACTTTCATTGTCAGCAGGTAAATGTTTTATAATTGATATTATTCCTAGGTAATGTGGCTTTTTCTTTTATCACAGCTTTTGATTGGCTTTGAATCTGGAACAGTAGTTTTATGGGACCTCAAATCAAAGAAGGCTGACTACAGATACACATATGATGAGGTAATATTTATGCTAGTAAAAGCTATGTCACTTCTCTAATATTAAGCAGTTTCTCTAAAAATTTAATTGGTAATTTTAGTTTAGGCAAGCTTTGTAATTGCAATAACACGGTTTATTTTTTACAATAGAGAATATATTCACACAATTCAAAAGATACAAAAATCTTCTTCCTACCTGCCATTTGGTGATCTAGTTTCCTTGCAGGTACCATGATACTAGTTTTTCTCATGTTCTTCCAGAGGGATTATGTGCATTTACAAGCAAATTCATAAATATATTCTGTTTATTCTTTTGTACGAATGATAGTATACTACAGACATTATTTATTTATTTATTTATTATTTTTTTTCCCATTTATTTATTTTATTGCATTTTAGGTTTTGGGGTACATGTGAAGAACATGCAAAATTGTTGCATAGGCACACATGTGGCAGTGTGATTTGCTGCCTTCCTCTCCATCACCTACATCTGGCATTTCTCCCCTTGCTATCTCTCCCCAGCTCCCCCCTCCCCACCGTCCCTCCCCTATTTCCCCCTAACTGACCCCAGTGTGTAGTGCTCCCCTCCCTGTGTCCATGTGTTCTCATTGTTCAACACCCGCCTGTGAGTGAGAACATGCGGTGTTTGATCTTCTGCTCTTCTGTCAGTTTGCTGAGAATGATGGTTTCCAGTCATCCATGTCCCTACAGAGGACCCAAACTCATCGTTTTTGATGACTGCATAATATTCCATAGTGTATGTCTGTTTGCTTTAAGATCCAGTAAGGATTAATTGTGATTGATAGATAAGTCTTTTCTCTCCTTTTGCTCCTTACTTCCCTTCTTTGCCTTACCTCTCCTTTTTTGGCATTTATTTGTTGAAGATGGAATCTTCTGGATGCTGGCGTTTTCTGGCTGCATCCGCATTGTCTTTAACATTTGGTTTTTCTTGTCCTCAGATTTCCTATAAATTGGATAATTTACTGAGGCTTGATCAAATGCAGGTTTATTTTTCATTTTTAGCAAGACTACTTCATAGATGATACTGTTACTCATTTAGCTGGTGGAATTTAATGTCTGTTTCAGATATTGGAAGCCAGTGGTGGTTAAGGCCGAGATCTGTTACTATATAGTAGTTGCAAAATAGGAGACATTCTAACTCTTGTCTTTCCTTCTGTACTTATTATGTAGGTCCGGTCAGTAAAGAGAAACTTCCTCTTATCTGCTATTTGTTTATACAATAGGCAGGATAAATATGTGATTCTTTCTCCTTATTTTAGTATTCATTTTAAGGGGTTGTTCTCTAATAGCTTCCATGGTGACCAATTTATTCTTACTTTTATTTTCACTGTGTGCTCAACAACTTAAACGTATTTGATGTACTTCATTCCTTTGAAGTTATTGTTGTTGCTTTTCACATTATCTTATCTTTGGTCAGTGCACCTCCTCCCTACTAATCTTGTGTATTTCTGAACCAAATTTAGAATAGGGTACTTTTCTATGGAACTATGAGTTCTTTCAGTGCAGTGTCTGGTGGCCATAATTTAAGTACCAGGAGTGTTGGTGGTTTCCAATTCAGTGAATAGAGCTATATCTAGGAAATGTGTAAGTGATTAAGATAAAATACATGATAATCTTAATCATATTCATGTGTTCAGTTACTCAAACATCAGAGCACACTGAGTAATTATAGCAACATTGAATACTTTGCATGTATTTGTATATTATCTTTCTAGACATTACTGAGAGGGAATTCCCTTTGTTTTTATGATTGTATGCTTTTTGCTGCTCACTAGTCAGGATCTTCAAATTAAATCAAACAAGCATATTTTGAATAAAGAGTTCCTATCATTTCTCTGTAGTTGTGATCTGTAGTTGTGATCTACAGATGAAAGCAGAATTTTAAAAATTCTCTTGTTTGGTTTTGCTTATTATAATTTTAAATAGTGACCTTGGCTTGAGCCATTATGGAGTCACAGGAACTAGTTTACCTTCTTGCTTTATTTAAACAAAGGATTTTTGAACTGAAAAAAAAGATATATCAAGTTCTGTGGGATGCAGCTAAATGATCCATTATAGCATTAAATGCTTTGTATTAGGAAAACAAGAAAGGTTCCAAGCAAGTGGCCTCAGCTTTCACCACAAGAAATAAGAAAAAAAAAAAAAAAAAAAAAGAGCAGATTAAATCTATAGTAAGCTGAAAAACTGAAATAATAAAGAGCTGAAATCAGTGAAATAGATTACAGAAAAACAGAAAACTGATAAAATTAAAAGCTGGATTTTTGTGAAGATCAATAAAATTGATAAACATACAGTCCGAGTGGTGTAAAAAAAGACAAAAAGACACAGATTACCTGTTGTAGAGGTGAAAAAGTGGATATCATTCCAGTTTCTATAGAAATACAGAGGGGCTGATAAGGAAAATGTATGTAATGCCAGTAAGTCCAGCAATTTAGATAAATTGGAGAATTTCCTTGAAATGTCACAAATTTCTTGGAAGTACCAAAGCCTCCTCTGAAAGAAATAATTAAGTAGCTCTGTAATTATTAAAGGATCGAAGTTGTAATGAAAATGTTTCCCACAATCACACCAGGCTCAGAAAGCTTACTGATGAATTTTACCAAATAATACCAGTTGTACTTAGACTCTTCTTAAAAATAGAAGAGAAGGGCACACTTTGCAACTCACTTTATGAGGCAAGCATTGCCCTTTCAACGAAACTAGAAACTAAATTGTAAGGAGACTGCAGACCAATATCCTTCATGAACACAGATGACTAAGTCATAAAAGTTATGCTTAACACATATTAATATACAAAATCAAAATCATGCATTTTAAACAACAGTGGCATTAAGTTAGGTGTAAATTCTAACTTCTAAGCTAACTTGTTTTAATGTAAACTGAGTGAAAATTTCTGGGTTTGTTTCCATGAATTGATGCTATCCCATCAGTGAATTTGATTCTCAGGGTTGTTTTTGCCAGGTGTACAATTTTGGACATTCAAGAAATTATTATAGGTATAATTCTTCCTCACTAGTGAGAGTAAAAAATTTAAGATTTTGACAAAGTACTACCTTTCCCCTCCCCAAATATTTATGTTCTATTCAATGATATATTATTGTAGTCAAATTTATCTTTATTACACAAGCACAACAATATTAAATGATGTGATATCAATTTAGAACATTCTAATATAATTAAAGTTCTTCTCAGTGCAGTTTTAATTGTTCATCTGGTCTTGGGGGTGATTAAGATGGGTGGGAGTAATGGGAACAGAAATATATCTTGGCGCCCTTGCGCTTTTGTCGCTTTGTAACCATAGTTATTATTTCTCTAACTGACAAACTCTACACTCGCCTGATTGTGTCTCACTGACAGATTTTGAGTATACTTGGATAGTATTCTTAATATTTTTCAGGTATTTTCTACAGATGATATTTCATCTATATAAACTTTTATCTTTTTAATGGACATTTTACTTTTTTTTAGGCTAAAATGTATTAAAATATCAAGTATTGGCCAGGTGCAATGGCACATGTCTGTAATCCCAGTGCTTTGAGAGGCCAGAGGCAGGAGGATCGCTTGAGGCCAGGAGATTGAGATTGGCATGGGCAACATAGCAAGACCTTGTCTCTACAAAAAGTTAAAAAAAAATTAGTTAGACCTGGTGGCAGGCACCTGTAGTCCTAGCTACTTAAGAGGCTGAAGTGGGAGGATGAGTTAAGCCCCAGAGTTCAAGGCTGCAGTGAGCTATGATCACGACACTGCATTGCAACCCTGGTGACAGAGCAGTACTCTGTTTCTAAAAGTAAAGTATCAAATCAATATTCCTTTTCTAGTAATCGGTGTGGCAGGAAAGAAATGCAGTATTACTGATATTTTAAGACAATAAATGAATACTTATGAACTTGTTTATTTTATGATTATTCTTTGTCATATGTCTAGGGTCATCTATCAGTGGCTTTTGTATTTTGGTTTCATGTTGGTTTTTCCTGGTTGATTGAGAAGCATGAGAAATACTGGGAGTAAAATATGACAAAAAAAATAGTTTGTGCTTTGCTAGCTCTATGGGTACATGTAAGTCTCAAGACCATAAGAAGCCTTTTATAAAAGAATGTTGAAATAATATGTTTGCAACTCACAGCACTGGAATCATAACAGCTTTAAATGAATTATTGTTTTGTACTACATATATTAATGTAAGCATTTATTCTCTTAAGGGTTTTTTTCCCTCCCATTTTTAGACTGGTGCTTTTAAGGCAGCTTATTTTTACAAACATACACATGCACGTGCGCACACGCGCGCGCGCGCGCACACACACACACACACACACACACACACACACACACTCTTTCCCAAAGGTAAAACCATACTGAAAAGAATGAATAATTTGATCACATTTTCAAAATAATTGAAGAAAGTTCCACTTGGATTATGTATGTAATTCATTCATTCATTCATTCATTCTTTAGAGGCAGTCTCACTCTGTTGCCCAGGCTGGAGTGCACTGGGGTTGGGGGAGGTTATTTTTAGTGGAAAGGGCCATGCTTTCAGTTTATAACTGTTTATAATCTTTAGAGAGAGAGGGAAAAAAGCTATAAATCATTTATTGTCCAATGTGTAATAATTTTATCAACTATCTTACAGAATGTATGATTAAATAATTATCTTATTATATAGTATTATGGTTGTCTCCCTTCTGTGGTGGCACTAATATTGAAAAGTTTACAAGTTTAAAATACTAGGACAAAAACTGTGCAATTTAATGTATTATTTATATATGTAAGAAATTATTTGTGCTATAAGCATGTACTTTATTTGATTATATGAGAATAATAAAACTACAGAGTATTTTCAGTATTTTCATGTATTTGTAAATGTTATAATTTAAAATGAAAGCCTATGTTATACATTTCCTTTTGTCTTTTTTTGGCATTTTTCTAAGGGCTTCGACAATAATAGTTACATTGGGAATTAATGCAGCTTTTGAATAGAATGTTAATATCTTCTATGAGAAAAGA